TAATGCACTTCACCTATACACCTATTCAAACATTTTCTACACAAAAGCAGGTAACAAATGTATTTATTTATTTATCTCAAAATACCTGAACCATCTGATTGGATGCAGGCATTGTTCAGGTGTTTTGACAGCCAGACACTAGCAAGACACTGAAATTTGTCAGTGGGAGATTCCTCCATCCACACAGTTTAGCGTAGATGGAGGAATGTGTTGCACTCTTTCCATCTGACCATATAAAGTCAGCAGATAATCTATAGGTGTATGTCCAGCTTAACCAGTTGACATCCGCGGTGTTAAACCCCCTTCCCATCCAGGCCATTTTTCAGTATTCTGCGCTGCGGTACTTTGACTGACATCGCGAGCAGAAAAAAATTGCCGTCTGGAGACGGCAAACCGCAAATGCTGCAGTGCCGTCCGTCTTCGCAATTGTAAGGGCAGGGTAGGGCCGCCGTACGAAGTTTTCGTCCGATGATTGCAAGGCGTATGGGCAGCTTTAAGGTGGCCATACACTTTACAACCATCGCAAGACTAAGGTCTTGCGATGGTTGTAAAGTAATTTAAAAAACGTACGATCTGCCCATCTTGGACAGGCAGATCGTACTTGCGACCATCGCAAGCCCGCCCCCCTGAGGGGTGGGCTTCAGATGACGGCAATGCTGAACAGGCAGTGTGCGCGTGCGCACACCGGCCCGTTCGGCATTTGTCTCCCGAGCATCATTCAAACCAGCCGAAAATCGTACGATTTTCGGCTGGTTTTCTAGCATGCTCCTTAGACAAAAGACGTGCGACCGTACAGCAAAAACGGTTGCACGTCTTCATTCACACTGCTCGATTCTCGTACGATCGCGGGATTTCCCACGATTCTCGTACGAGAATCGTGCAGTGTATGGGCACCTTTTACACTGGGCTTCTGATCAGATCCACCTGAAAAGCTGACAGGCGGACCTGATCGGACTGCTCACCTGAAATGGGCCTTATAGTGTCTACTCACCCCCTCATAAAAAGTTAGCAAGTTAGTTAGGCAGGAACGGTCTTTCCTGAACCCATGCTGATTGTCATTAACTATCCCGTTTTCCTGAACAAATTCTACCAGATAATCCTTTATTATGCCCTCTAGCATTTTACAAACTACCGATGTTAGACTGACCGGCCTATGCTGTATACAATGCTGAACAGGAAGTGCAAGAATAAATGTATATGTGCATGGGATTTAAGAATGCTTAGTGACCTGCACAAGCACCGTTACCATAGGTGACACATGATTTGAACCCAAAAACTTAAACTGGCTTCCAAAATTACCAAAAATGTTAAATTTAAATTAAAAGCTTGTTCAACTTAACCTCCCTCACTGCTGCTTTGATCCAATTCCATTGCCAACAGATAGTTGCACTGGAATCTGTATCCACAAAAATATCCATGCTTTGGCTATTTTTAAGGTACTGAACTAAGGGTTAGTTCACACCATAAGCAGTGCGTTCTGGTCCAATTCTGGCCGGACCCCACTGCCTCGCATTGCGGCCGGCTCACTTTTTTGCCGGGCTGGAGGGGGCTTTTGAAGTGAATGGCACTGTAGCCACGCCCTCCGGCCGCAAGGCACATTATGCCTGCTGTCCGATCAAAATGCTGCAAGCACTAAGCGATCGCCCGCACGGCAAAGTGTGCCTGCAGTGCGATCAAAATAGTGCTTGCAGCATTTTGATCGCACCGCACTGCAGGCACAATGTGCCTTGTGATCCCGTGCGGGCGATCGCATTGGGGCCGCAGGGCGTGGCTACGGTGCCATTCACTTCAATGGCCCGCCACGCCCCCTCCACCCCACAAAAAAGTGAGCTGGCCGCAATGCGATGCAGTGCGTTCCGGCCAGAATCGGACCGGAACGCACTGCTTATGGTGTGAACTAACCCTATCGTACGAGAATCGTGCAGTGTGAATGAAGACGTGCGACCGTTTCAACTGTACGGTCGCACGTCTTTTGTCTAAGGAGCACGCTAGAAAACCAGCCGAATATCGTACGATTTTCGGCTGGTTTGAATGATGCTTTACATGGTGAGCATGTTTGAGCCTAGGCACAGAATACTTTAGGTGAACTAATTGCTGTGCTACATTCACCAAGTTTTGGAAGGAGATAACTGTACTTATATCAAGTGATTCTTTGGCATTTTGTTACTCATTCCTCATCATACATAGAGGGATGCATTGGTAGAATTAGATTTTTGAGGTTAAAGGTCTGCTTTAATAGCCTGCCTACCTGGGGGCATGGCAGGGGTGCGTCCATTGCCTAAATACGTTGTGCTGGAAGGTGACCCTCTTTTTACATCTCAGAAAGTTGGCAGGTATGCTTATCTAACTGAAAGTAGAGCTGAACCTTATTTTAGTTTTGGACAGAGTGATGGAGGTTTATAAGCCCTGTCAGCTATTTTTTAGCCATCTGTGTCCCCCTGGAGAGATTTCCTTTCGCTTCGTGTCCAATAGCTACAACCGGAGTAAATCCCTCCAAAGTGAGGGAAATCCATGGAAATCAGCGGAATGATAGAAGATAGTGCCCCCATTGGAAAATTGCTCATCTATTTCTGCTCTGATTACAACCGGAAATGTGGCATTTTCCTTCACTTTCAGTGATATCGGTCACCAGGACAAATAGAGAGGGTGAATCTCCCCAGAGGGGACCCAAACAGCAATAAAAACCTGATAGGGGTTCTAATCCTTCTCCACTCTATCCAAAACGATAACAGAAAGCCTTGGCTTCACTTGCACTTTAATGGCACAACAATACTTTTTATGCTGGCTTACCATCTCGCACGGATGGACCTGTTCAACTCTTATGATCGAAACTTCAGGAAGAAAAAAAAAGACAGAAAGAGGAAGGATGATGCCAAGAATCCGGAGTCATATGAATGGACATACAAAGACTTTTATTATCACTGACTTTAAAAAACTAGAGATTGCAGGCACAGCGTAAATTGTTTTTTTTTTCAATGTTTTGTGTCCTCCAGATACCAATAATGACCTCCTATCCTTGTGATCGATGTCAGGTCACAGTTAAAGGAGAACTAAGGGGTGAGGGCTTTTCCCCATAGTTCTCCTTAGGGTAACGGGAGGACACAAACTAGCGTCCTCCCGTCACCCTAGGCTCAGTATACTCGCGGTAAACTGAGACGCCGCAGCTGAAGCGGATCCCGACAATTATGTTTGGATCCACCCAGCTGCATGACTTACAGCTGGCTCTGCCTATCTAGAGGCAGAGCCAGCTGTACCCGCCCCCTCCGTTCCGCCAGTCAGCGCTGGCGGATCGGAGCGGGGAGAGGGGAATCCAGCCCCTCCCCTTGTCACGACAGAGAGCTTTGACAGGATCGAGAAGTGAGCGAACGCCGCTATGTGTTCACTCACCTCCCGATCTACTGAGCCGACCTGTGACAGTCTCATTGTCACAGGTCGGCTAGAACTATGAGGTGAGTGAAAGGCACTCACCTCATAGTTCTCCTTTAATTGTAGTCTGTGCCTTCCCCCCAACCCATTTCTAGGTGCCTGCACTTCATACCTGCAGCAGTTTCCCATCCTTCCCCACAGTGCCGCAGTCTCTTCAAAGACAGTGTAGACTTTTATGCAATGTTCCTATAAGTACATTTATTACCACTTACCTGCCAGGTGAGGTCAGGGTCATGTTAAAGTACAAACTTTACATACAACACTGCTGGGTTCAGAGCTGACGGCATATTGGTCACCTGTGTGCTCTTATGTGATTCCTCTACTTCCTGTAGGAGCTCAGTGATGACAATGGGGGAGCGGGGATTGCAGGCAGGCCCGGAAGTCTCATGATCCGACACTTTGAGAAAAGTCGATTCTCCAACAAATTGCGCGGATGATATCTTGGCTCTGAAGTCTGAAAATGCTGCAGTGTGCAAAATTATTTAAGTACATTTCCTACCATTTACCTGCCGATGTAGTGGCGAGGATAGGATGCCCTGACAGGGTCTCGTTAAAGCCCAACCTCCATTTTCATATGTTTACCTTCACTTTTCTCTAGTAGTGGTCACATGGGGAACCTGAAAAACAAACAAATGATGATTTTCCACGGACACAACAGGAAGTAAGTAAATTGCCTAATTGGGGACACGGGAAATACCTGACAGTGGTTTAAACCCCTTCACTAACCAAAAGAATATATATATTTTAATTTTGGCGCACAACGGGTTCCCTTTAAATGAACATGTGGTTACCTCATTATAAAGCACCAAAAAAGTATCTTTCAGTGAGATAACAATTCACTTCTGCCTCCAGGCGGCCTGTGGTAACTACAGGGGAACTACAAGTTCCAGCATGGTCTTAAAAGCGGAGGACCACCTACACACCCGCCTCTGCTTACAAAGTAGGCGGCCCCTCAGCCAGTCAGCGCCCATTCCCTCTCCCACCTACACGCTCCGTTCCGCTGTTCTATCGCAGATTGTGACTGCGTTAGAATAAAGAATGTGTGATCACGTCACCGGTCACACATTCTAACGCAGTCACAATCTGTGATAGAACAGTGCGCCTTCTTTCCGCCCACTCGGATCTCACACGCCCCGTTTTCGCCCATTGCCATATCACACGGCCAGTTTCCACCCACATACACGTATTTTTTCGTCTGCACTCACCTCACACGCTCCGTTCCCACCCTCTTGTACGCCTCCCGCCCTCTTCTTCCCTGTCATTGGTCCCGCGTCACGGGCCTAGAGCTCCAGTCGTTGCCGTAGCAACTAGATACCTCAATCCCGCCCCATGCGTGACGCAATGCATGCCGGGCACGTCACGCAGTGAGCAGACGTCGCGGTGTATGCCGGGTACAGAGAGGCGGCCTGCTGACGGATCCCGGGACAGCTACTGAGGGGGATCCCTGGCCCTGCCAG